AGCCAAAGCCTGGACTAGAGCCCATGTCTTCTGTTCGTGCTTCAGGACTCTTTCCACTTGACCCAATGACTCCCCCTTACGGTACATACTGCACTGAACAGAAGATCTCTTGGGAGACCCAGCCCACTTTGATACCCCCATCCTGGGCAGCTGGAGCCCTGGGATTCTTAAACATCCCTCTAGTTCCCAGCCGCCGCCTCCTCCCCGACCAAGCCTTTGACCGGAGCCCGGCACGGGGGCACGGCTTGGGCAGAAGACAGCAGAGCCTGCAGGTGCCCTTCAGCGCACAGTGCAGCCTTTGATAACCCAGCTGTGCCGCTAGCAGCTCTGGCCTGGATTTCAGGAGATGCACGGCGTCCTGACAAGTTATCCAAGAAGCCACGGCAGAAAGGATGAACTGAGGGCGGGACCCAAGGCCCTCTTCTTCCACACAGGGGCTCCCTCTTCTGCAGCCACACATGCTCTAGCTGTTCCTACAGACTCACAGCCTCTGCCTCAGACCCAGCTTGGTCCCCATGGGAACAGTTGACATCTATTGATCATCTATTAAGCCAGGCACCAGGCCAAGGCTGACTTGGACCATCTCATTTAATCCTCATGAGGATTACCCTTTGAGGCAATTTAAGGTTAGTTTTCCCCTTTGATAGTTGAAGAAATTAAAGTTAAAGAGGTGAGTCACTTGCCCAAGCGATACAGCCAGTAAGGAGCAGTGCCGGGCCCGGAGCCCAGGCGCGGCAGGCCCCGGAGCGCACACCACACTCACCACCTTGTCCTTCACGGCCCACAGCCGACAGGGCCTGCGAGATCACCAGGCTCAGCTCCCTGCTTGGTACATGAGGAATCTGACGCCTGGAGAGAGGAGGGATTTCCTGCTGAGCACCCCGTTCCCTGACTCCTGGTCGGAGGGGTCTGTCTACCTTGCTCCCTGCCGTGCCTGGGAGCCGACGCCTGGCCGAGAGCCGCTGCGGCCCTGAATTCATGGAAAACCTACCCAGCTTCGCTTTCGGCCTGGGGTCGGCTCTTGAAGTTTCATTCTTCTCACCTGAGACCCTGGGATTGGCCTGAGCTGTGATTTTATAACACCCGGAGCAAAGGGACGACGACCAGTGAAAACGGTCAGAACCTTATTTTGTCCTGAGGCCTATTTAGCTCGAATTTGGTCCAAAAATAAATTCCCTTCTAGCGTGAGTAGATAGCATGATGAGTTTGACTGACTCGGGGCCTCTCTTCCCTTGGCTCGTCTTGGCGGTGGGCGGGAGGTGAGGAGACCGGCCCTCCCCGACCCACCGCCCACCACACTTAAAGCTTGCCAGACATTCTGTCTTTGGGTCAAAGAGTTTTTTAAAAGGTGACAGATAACTAGTGCCTTTGGCAAGCTATACCCTGGGCAGGTCTCCATTTTCTCTGATAAAGAGTGAAATAAATGAAAACAGTACATAAAGAAAAAAAATCTGTAAATGGGTGGGAGCCCAGGGTCATTTTCCCCTTCATCCTCCTCCCTGTCCCTGAAGCGGCTTCGTGAGGAGCCCGGGGGGGAGCACTCCCTGCCAACAGCTGGGAGCCTCGTGCCTCTCAGCAGCCCTTCTCCGCGCTGCTTCCCCTTGGTGGCACGCGGCTCGCTCTGGCAGGGAAAGCCCAGGGCAGAACGGGAAACTTCAGAACTTTCTGAAGAAGAGAGCTTGCTCTAAAGCAGGTTCCCTCTTGCCAAGACCTTTTGGTCTGAGGAGCTGGTACTGTTGCAGCCCCTACCCCAGAACTTTCTAAGGAAATACCGAGCTGATCAGAGATTTGCTTCAGGAGCCGTGCGACTCTGGGCCTGAGCGCGGGGCGGGGGGCGGGGGGGGGCTCCCCGCCCTGGTGCGCACCTGCTCAGGTGCCTGTTGCGGGGCCAACTCGTACCTTGGGGAGGGGACGCCGCCCTGCCCAGGGGTGCCGGGGTCGGCCACGCTGCACAGGATACTTGAAGCAGCAGAGCAAATGCAGTGGACGTTGGCAGCTGCCTGTCCGTCGCTGACCCTCGAGGACGGACCACCAGGCTCCCCTTTGGCAAATGCATGCGTGTCACTGGGCGAACAGCCGCAGATGGAACATGGGGGAGGAATGAGTGGCCCTCACTTGTGGGTGGCGGCAGGCAGCTGGCAGGGTCCCTTCCCACACGGTCCCGTGCAGGCATCCTGTCAGGGTGGGGTCATCACCCCTGCTCACAGGGGAAACACAGCTAGGGGCTTCCCTTGCCTGCCCAGCCTCGCTCCAGGGCTGTGGCGCTTCTGGCCTCGTCGCGGTCCCTCCGGGCTGTAAGGACTGGCAGAAAAGGGCTTTGAGCTCAGAGACGGCCACCCTTTGGCTGGCTCAGGACCGCGTCAAACAGGATGTGGATGGGAGAGGGTGCTTTATCTTTCTTTGTAACTGTTGGCATAATTTGAAGTTTGAGACTGGACTGGTTTTTCTTCCTCAGTACCTAAATACCACATTTGTCCACTCTCTGAGGCCACTCTCACTTTAAGCAGCATGTCATGAACAATGCCTTAACTCTTCTTGCAAACCGGCGACCATCAGTAGGTACGTTAATGACAGCCACTTAGGTCTCGCTAGTGCTGTCCGTGGGCTGGCCGGTGGGGTCCCTGCTTCCCAGGGCCCACTGTGCAGCCTGGCAAGTACCACATATATGCGTGTGACAAATGCTCCGGGAGAAGCACAGAGATTGTCTATAGGCAGGGAGAGAACCTCCTGTTCACCAGGGAAGACTTGATAGGAGCCAGGGCATTTGGCCTGAGCATGAGATGGAAAATGGCATGTGTGAAGAAGAGTGGGTGGCCAGATTGGAGTGGGGGGCTTGCATCCTGGACCATGCATGGGCATCGGGGGGGGGGGGGGCTGTGACATCCCCTCATTGCTGTGGGGGCTACTTAGCTGCAGTTTTTCTGGGAGAGGATCCTTAGCTTTCTTAGCTTTTCAAGGGAGGGGTGCATGAGCCTAAAAATGTAATGGAAGGACAAAAACAATTTTTTTGACATGTTGGAGCCAGATAGTGAAAATCATTGAGTGCCAGGCTGCACGTCTGGGGAGCATGCAGGGTTTTGGTCGGGGTAGTGACAGAGGCCCACACTCGCAGAAAATGTATTTAGTTGCAACAGAAAGGTGAAGTCGGCCTGTGTCCAGAGGAGAACCAGCCTTCTGCAGCAGTTTTGTTGAAGGGTAACAAAGGCCAGGAGCCAGAGGGTGTCACAAAGGGTAGAGGGACATTGTGGGGGAAGAAAAAGAACCTTCAGGATGAATTCACCACAGGGCTTTAGGGAGAGGTGAAAACAGGGTTCTGGTACAGAAATAAAAATGGGCCAAAGCACATTCAAAGACAATATTGAGGAGCCCTTCATTTGGAGCACACTGGTTCAAACTACAGAGACATCCAGGTCACAGAGTCCCACAGGTGGCTGGAATGTGGGACGGAAGTTGGGGGAGAAATGAGGGTCAGAGGCCCAGATGGGGTGGTTCTGTGCTAAGGGGGCTGAGCCTGAGAACAGCGCCACGCATGAGGGGCGTGGAGGGCAAGACAGGAGGGCTCCAGAGAGAAAGCTCATCGGGAGCACAGCAGGGAGAAGGGAGGTAGACCCAGGATGTGGAATGTCACCCGGGGAGGACGGCTCCCTGAGAGAGGAGTCAGCTCATAAATGCTGCCCAGAGCCCACAGAGGCCAGGGCTGTGGGAGCCAGAGGAAGGGGTGACGTGCGGAAGAGGTTTCGATTGACTTGGTGTTGGGGCAGTGGGCAGGCGGTCAGGTACCATGTAACTGCACGGTGGGACCCCAGGGCCTGTTGAGTTGTGCGGGGCTACTCACCCCTGCACCGAAGGAGCCCTGTTTGGGGCCTTTGTGGTACTGGTGGTGACCGGGCCTCTTGGTGGCCCTTCCTGGTTCATGTCACAGTCCTGAGTGAGCCACTCTAGATAAGTGAGTTGTGACTACTCTGTCCTCGTGTGAGTCCAGTGCAGGGGAGAGAGGAGTAAGTGACAAGCCGGGGTGACCAGGGGCAAGGGGTGCCCACCCTGCCCCTCCACTTTCTACCTCACCTGCTGTCTTCCCACAGAGCTTCGAGTTCCCAGCTCACAACAGGCTGCCCGCTGCCCCCAGTCCCCCCTGCTGTGTTTCTTGCCTAGAACTCCCGTAATGCCTACTCCTCCTCCGCCTTCCTTGGTCTCACCAGCCCAGCGCCTCGCGGTACCTCCACACGTGCCCTTACCACCTCGATTGGTGTTACTGATGTGTTTGCCTCCTCCTCTGAACTGGGATCTCCCGCGGGGCAGGGGCCCTGTCCAGGTTCCCTGGCAGCCCCTGGCACCTCATACCGTGCCTGGCAGAGTGGGCCCGTGTAGAATGTGGAGCCCGTCTCTACAGAATCGAATCTGGGGGCCAGAAAGGCCGGATGGTCTGCCCCAGATCATGTCACCCGTCCGTGACTGGCCAAGGAAGCTTCTCTTGATACCCAGCCTGGCTTTCTATCCAGTAGCCCAAGCTGCACATATGTTTGGAAATAAATGGAGACCATGGAACACTTAGAAATCCTTTTTAGTAGACCCTCTTTGTCTGTATGAAGTCAAGGATCCAGCTGAGTGGAGAGTACAACTCTCTTTATATTTCAGGTCACAGAAACGACGAGGTGGCTGGCTTGGCCACTCTCTGGCTTGTCTCGGGGGTCGGGCCCCTGTCTTTGGCCTAGGAGAGGCAGAGGGAGCCCAAGGACTGACGTCTAGTAGGACCTGGCCGCCTGGAAGGTCTACATACAGGCCCTTGAAAGATCGATGCACAATAGCACAGAAGTGAACTGCTTGTACCTCCCTTGGAAAAATCCAGAGGGTTTTGCATCAGCAGGGAAGGGAAATCCAACCCAAGATGCATGAACAATAAATAACAACTGTTCTGAGTTAGGTTGAAAGCTCTGAGTTGCACTTTTTTTCAAGTTGTTTGTGCTAACCACAATTTTTTTTCTCCCCCTCTTTCCCACCAGGGCTTATTTCAAAACCTTTGTCCCTCAGTTCCAGGAGGCAGCGTTTGCCAATGGAAAGCTCTAGGAAACACCAGTCTTGAGAGGTGGCCAGCCAGACTGCTGTGTCCACATGCGTGTCAGCACATATGGCCGCTTCCTGGAAGCCGCTTGGAACGCCTTCATGGTAGCGTTCTGCGCACACAGCAGCTTTGCACGCCCCGCCTGGAGCCCAGACTGAAGCGGGCTGGCACTAACCTGGATCCTCGAGCCCCCACCGCTGGTCGCTCCCTCTTTGTTTCCTTCAGTATACTTCTTAGTTGGAAGAAATAAAATCAAATTCTGACACGGTATTTTTCCAGGGAAAGTAAGACATCACAAATGCACACACCCTTATTCCAGGAAAGCCTTTGTCTCTGAGACCGTGTTTAAGTCTTAAGATGAAACCCCCCTTTGCTTTTATTTTTCCCTGAAACTCGTGGCGTGTGTGTGTGTGTGTGTGTGTGTGTGTGTGTTTTACTCCCCAGCATTTCCCACTTGGGGCGGCTCTCCATTGGAAAAGGCGCTGCCTGAATGAACCTGACAATGCTGCATGGTTTCAGCCACCCAGCCTGCTGGGCCCCCGGCCGGTGCTCAGGAGCACCTAGGCTCCAGCACACGCTGCAGCTCCCCGTGTGTGCGCCGTATGCACAGAGGCAGTCATTAAGTTTGCTGAATGGGCCAGTGGATCTGTCCTTCCCTCCCTCACGTCACTCAGCCCTCCCTAGGCTGATGGGAGAGCTATTTGGGCTTCTGTAGCCCTGTGCGCATCATACCTGGAAGACAGAGGTTGCGTCTTGTGGGCCGTCACTGGCGTATCTGCGACATCTGGGCTCAGGTCTCTCTGCCACCATCCAGGAACAGAGCAGGGGCAGATAGCCTGAGGGAGTTCCGCTTGTCCTGTATTTACGGATTGTCAGAGCCAGACGGGGTCTCAGGACTCCCCTTGTTTCACCCCCGGCCCTCTCCCCTGCTGCTCCCTTACGTGTACAGAGAGAAGTAAGGCCCAAGAGCTACAGAAACTCTCCAGGCAAATTGAGAGCAGACCTGGAGGTGGTGGCCAGGCCTCTCCTTACCATCACACGACTTCCCTTAGCTTACAAGCTGAGGATAGCCAAGCTGACCCCTTGACAAGACTTACAGTTTCGCTTAGCGCTGTTGCATCCTGAAGGCTTTCCACATAGGGAAGTAGGACGTGCGTGCAGAGGTGAGGGAAGCAATCAGCTGGCCTGCCTGGCCTGTGCGCTTCCCTAGCCCACCTGCCTTCCCAGGCAGAGGTGAAGCCCCGGCGCACCTGTCGGGTTTTCCGGGCCTCTCACCGTTCTCTTGGTTCCCCTTGTGGTTCTTGGCACCCGGTTTTACTGTGTGAGCCTGAAAGGGAGCCAGCTCAGGGCCCTTGTGGGGACTACGGAGGGCTACCTCTACTTCCCATATCCTCCAGCACCCAGGAATATTCCTAGGAGGCAGAACAGCTTGGACAGACCCCCCCTGCTGGCTACCAGCTGGACGACTGCCCAGCTCTGGGTTCTTACTCGGTGTGGGTACTTTGCCCCCTGCCCCGGAACCTTGGGAACTCCCATGACAGAGGAAAGTCCAGTGCCCTGGGTCCACACCCCAGCTCTGCCCTTAGCTGGCTGTGTGACATAAGAGTGAGCCCCTTCTCTGTGTCGTACAAGGACTCGGCTCCTCAGGAGCCCCCCGGGGAGCTGTCTCGAGCGCTGCTGCTCAGGCTGCCTTGCAGTTCTGCTGAACCAGTTCTTCACCAGTTGGGGCTGGGACGTCGGGACTTTGATAACCCTCCCCAGGTGATTCCTCTGAGCCCTAAGAGCCCTAAGCCAGCTGACCACCCTGGAGCATCTGCCGCCCCTGGCTAGCCGACCGCCCACTCGACCTCAGCGCAGCTGTGTGCCAAGTGTCCCTCACTCTGCCCCATGACACTGTCACTTAGGACTGCTCTGGCCATCTGCCCCCATGGAGGGGCATGGATGGGGGTCGCGGCCCCCAGAGCCAAGAGTTGCCTGCGTCAGGGTGTGGTTCAGACCCAGTAGGGGAGTCCAGCGCCAGTTCCAGCCGAGGGTGGTTGGCAGATGTGGGAGCGGGGTGAGGTCAGGTGGCTGGCCTGGACCCTTGGCATTTCAAGTAGCCCGGCAGACACGACGGCCGCCAGTAGTGGGCAGTGTGACCCGGGGTGGGGGGGGCGCACACACACTCAGGCCAGCCTGCCCGTTGGAGACACACCCACACATCTGCAAAGCGGGCACACTGACCGGGAAGGGCTGTCACCCGCCTGATCTCAGAGCATCGCACAGCCAACCTGTGAGGCAAGCAAGCGGGTGTGCAGCCCCCATCCCAACCATGAGGAAACACGATCAGAGAGGTGAAGCGAGTCACCCAAAGCCACCAGCCAGTCAGCGCCAGAGCTGGGACTCAGCCCAGGCTCCTGGCTCTGGACCCGGCGCTACTGCTCAGGTACGTCCACGTCCCGGCCGTAAAACACACTGACGCTTTGGTGTTCTTTTCCAGCGAAGGATGACGTGCTCTGTATAGGTTTGTGAGCGTGAGGATTCTATGAATTTTAAAAGGACTTTCATCCCCCTTACCGCAGGACGAGGGTTGGGGCCGATTTTCTTAGGAAGCAACCAAACAACAGAAGGTGACAATGGCCGCCTCGTGTGTCCAGTGTCACAGATTCAAAACCCCTGTGAACTTTAGCGTCACCCCCGCCAGCCACAGAAGCCAGGGGTGCTTGTAAAGGGTGCCAGTCCCCTGTGCGGTTTTAAATACTTCTCGCTAGTTCAGCCCATCGTCGAGCCTCGTACCCGCATAGAGTGCAGCCCAGGACTAATTAGTAAATGACTATAAAGTGCTTTGAAGAAGAAAAGTGCCGTATAGGAGAGCACATTATTATCACCTCGTAAATCCTGTCGCCAGCTTAGCCAGCCCATGTAATTTCAGCTGAATCTTTGGCTCAACACAGACAAGGAGAAGGACTCCAATGTGTTGACTAATAATACCTGGGCACCTCCTGGGGGGACCATGGGCAGCCAGCGCTGAGCCCTCTCCCAGCCGCTCAGCTGCCTGAGGACCCAGCTCCGCGCGCGAGAGCCACTTTGCTCCTGGGAATGAACTGGAAAGAGCATGAACTTGAGGACAGAGACTTATATTTGAATCCGGGCTCTGCCCACTTAGTGGCTGGCAAATATTTAACAAACAGTTCTAAAGCGGTTTAAAAAAGGACAAGAAAAACAGGAGGGCCCGATTTGTACTGTTGGCCAGTTTCCACGGTGTAAATATTCCCACTGTGACCGATTTCCAGCTACCAGCGTGAGGTCCCTGGGCGCAGACGTGGGAAGAGCAGGGAGGGTGGTTGTGGGAGCCCCCCACTGGGGTGAGCAAACCCCAGGGCGGGTCTTCACTCAATGTCTGTCAGTTTTGTTTTCCTCACCTGTAAAATGGCAGTAAATACATGCCTCCTAGGGTTGTGAGAATAAAATCAGAATTGTACGTAAAGCCCCAAGTAGGGTGCTTGGCGCACGGGAAAGTTTGATCAATAGTGGCTATAATTACTGCAGACCAGAAAAATGATTTTCCAATGTTGACTTTGGCCTTTTTCTGAAAAGTCAGAATGCCCCTGTTAAGAAGTCCTGCCAGTGAATGTGGTCTTTGGAAGAGTGACCCTTTCTGGATGACTAGGAAGACAAACGATGAGTCACCTGGATTTTAGGGAATGAGAGATGAGAAATCTCGGTGGGAGTTCTCCCCCCCCACCCCCCCCCCCACCCTGGCCCCAGGCTGGGGCGGTGGGACTTCAGGCTCTGGGGAGCGCTGGAAAGCAAACGACGCAGTGACCTGCTTGTTCACCCCGGCACCTGCTCTCTCAGGGAAAACTGAGCGGCACAGGTGACTTGTGCTTCTGACTCAGTTTCGGTTCCTGATGACCACAGACTCTTGTTTCGGAGGCCCAGCCTTGGTAGAGAAATAACCACACTCGGTTTGCCTCTTGCCTGGGCCTATAAATAGTGCAGCCCCAGAACCTGCCCTAGTTCCTGGGGACTGGCCCATCCCACGGTTCTCCTTAGCGCCAATGTAAGAAACATCATCTCGTGGTCAGATGGCGTCTAATGCTGTTCACGGCATCATCAATGCATCGGTGCTTTTTAAAAATGAAAGTGAAAAGAGACTTCAGCTTTCTGTTTATGTGTCTGTAGTGCTTACGTGCAGCGTCAGTAGAGTAAACGTCAGGGGTTAGACCAGATGCCAAACAGAAACAGGTGCTGGGTGAGTGGTCAAGACAGTAGCTACCCTTATCAAGCTATAAATGACATTCCATGCCGGCTATTTTTTATACATTGTCTTTTTCAATCCTCAAAACGACTAAATGAGGTAGCTTATTATCCCCATTTTATACATAAAGAAACTGAGCCTCAAAGAGGTTAAATAACTTACATAAGGCCCTGCTACTTTCTCTCCCTCCTCCCCTCCCTTCCTCCTGTTCTCCCTGTCTGCCCCCCTTCCTTAGGACACAAAGGCAATGAGCCCAGGGCGCTCTGTTTCTTTCCATTTCCCTTATCCAGCTTCTCCAAATGGAGGGAGATTTATTGAGCATCTACTGTGTACAAGACATTCATATCCTGGTTTTTGCCATCTTCCACAGGAGAGGGGCTTGGGGTGATTGGGTGGGGCCGAGATCAGATGGAAGCAGGAGTCAGGCCTAGGTCTGCTGGTTCCAAGACTAGACTTCACCACAGAGGGTTCTGCGTGTCTGTGTGCACTCAACTAAAGGATGCTTTGAAGCAGTCTTTGTATAGGCAGATGGGCCTATGTGGCTACATAAATACCCACTGATTTTCAGATGAGTGAGCCAGGGCTAGCCCCACAGTTGGATAAACTCTGACTTTGTGCCATATTCTCAAGTTAAAGTCCAAAACACACTTGGTTGGAATAATGGCCTAATATCTGGGGGAAACGAGATGAAAATAGTCGTGGCAATTATTAAGATCACCAGGGTACTTCCAGAGGCATAGGATCCATGAACTGATTCCAGAGCAAATACGAAAGAGCTCCAAGGGTTATTTCCTAACATAACTCATGCTCTCCTTCTTCGGGGGTCCACATTTCTCCTCCATTCATCTCTGACCCCTTTGGAAGAGCCACACTTTACATGCTTGGGGTCATGATAAGTTATGACTAATAGTGGCAATAAAAGTAACCCCACAGGCAACCCAGGAATGACCAGAATGAGCCTCCCGGCTCTGGGCCAGCTGCCTTTGCGCCACTTTGGGAGGAGCCGCACGGCGTGTGGAAGGTGTGACAG